AGGCGGCATAATTTATCTTGAAAAATTACAAATATAAATCATGCATGGGAGTGCTTCTGTCGCGAGGAGATGCATGAACTAAAAACCTCATTGAAGATAATAAAGCAAACGGTATATTCGCGGGAAATATGGGTATGTCCGTTATTTGTTCAAAGAAGTGACAGATAAGGATAAAAGTCATACAATTTGAGACACACTGGATTGTCAATGGGGACTTTCCTCATCATGAACGTAACAGTTTTTAAAATTATCTGCCTAAATTATTCTTTTCAAACAGTTTTTGGTAACCTTGTGTCGACACATTAACTTAAATCGTTGAAGGAAAATCAGAAATGAAAATAAATGTAATAAAATGGCTCAGTGATCTATCTTCCAATTTCTAATTGTCAAGAATTTTCGACAACTAGATTTCTATAATGAAGATTTTTCATGTTTTTCAAATATTATTATAGTTTTATTTCCCGATTAAAAATAAAGGGTCGCAATTATTTTTATTCGATCTAATGCAATGCTGCCAGTTCTTTGGGCGGAAATATTTTTTTTTCTACTTGAACGATATCAATAATTTCATCAAACAAATTACATTACCTCAGTTATGTTAAGTATATGATGTACGAGAAAATATAAACATGTTTAGCTGTGTGTGCTAGGTGGCCGTCGTAAGTATAAAAACCTACTAGCTAGTTTAGCAATTAACATTTATAACATTTATTAAGATTAACAAGGATAAAAAATGTTACATATATAATTTTTGAATAACATTATTATTGATTAAGAAATTGCACCTTATTAAATTTGCGATTTTGTACAATGCTATAAATTACGGTTTATTCAATCGTAAAGGGGAGCTGCGTATGTGGCGCACTATTTGGCGGTCAGCTGCTGTCGTGCAATGACAAATAAGAAAGCCCACAATGGATCATTAATAGTTATTGCCACTTGTTGATCGTATAAAGTAACGATGATGCTCATCGCAAAAACGATGCGAGACGCTCCTGCAAAATCAATCGCCCTAAACAAAAGTCATGACTTACATACTCATCGCCTAATACACAAACAATGCTTTCAGTGGTGCCTGCAGACGGCGACTTATAGTTTTCCGATGTTCTTTAGTTGTCAGATCAGACGATGTATCTTTGTCACTGTATGTTCAATACTTGCTCAAGCTTAGGTTGTGTTTGGAAAAGTATTTAACATGTTTTGTAGTTTCCATAGGCAAGTGGATCGAGATAACACTAATATTATGTATGTTGCAAAGCGACCAATTTCAGGGTATTACCATGACAAACAATAAATTTTAAATTTACCTATAATTCCAAGTTACTTAATTAAACCGTTATCAATTGCATTTAATTTCTTTATCACAGGCAAAGTGGCACAAGGGATAAACTTTTTAATTATTTTTCTTTTTCTTTATTTACGCTAAAGAAGCATAACTTCTAAGTATACACATACTTTTTTATTGATAAAATAAATTTTATGACGTTTTTATGAACGACTAACTAACCACTTACTTCGTGTATAGGAGTCGAGCTCAGTGGTAATAAAATATAATAATATTAAAAGTGGAATGATATAATAATGATTGCAGAGATGGCGGCTTAATGTAAACAGAAATTCGGGTTTGTTCGGGTTGTAGGATCGATTCCCAAACTAGTCAAACACATTACGAACAACTGTTTGTGTGAATATCATAGACAGTTGTTCTGAACCCAGTACGGTTTCAAATTCATGGCACACAGATTATTATCTTCAACAGACATTCGAGGTTAAATAGAAATAGTTTTCTTACATTGTTTTTACTTTATTATTATTTTTGAAGTAGATATTGCTAAGTACTGAAGATTTCAAAAGTTTATTGGCCAATTCTCCAAGTTGTGCAAAAGACATAAAGAGACACAGAGGCACTTTCTCTCTTATAATCACAGTTGAACTAAGTATTCGGTTCTGAAATGTAAAATAAAATTCCTTGTAATGGACGACTTCCTCGTGATTGCCTTTTGTTAAGTTTTTAAAAGTCTTACGCCCGGTTTCTAAAACACTGATCAACGTAGATGTCAACTAATCAGCTGTCAAATGAATTTCAAATTTCATTTTAGTTGCCAAAAGGATGTTTAAACTCTTTGAATTGATCATTCTGATCATAAAGAAGATCATTCTGGTTAATTCAGAGAGTTTAACCATCCTTTTGGTACCTAAATTGTAATTTGAAATCCATTTACAGCTGATTAGTAGACATCTACGATGATCAGTGTTTCAGAAACCTTGCGTGAGTCCTTAGTTTCTGAAACTAACATCAGACATAAATGTCGACATTCCTATAAAATAATTGAACATTAATAATCGTCAAGCATGATGAGTTAACATCATGAGATTGTTAAGTTATAATGTGAGGGCAATTGCATTACACTGCCAACACGTGTACAAACGTTTGTAATAAGGAACACTACAAAAGACGAGAAGTTACTTAATACCTCATAAATTGATTAACACAGTCATTTCATTGCCGGATGAAACTGTTAGTACCTGTATCTTAATTTGTTAAAAATTTACACAGTTATTATTTATATATTATTTACGATTTTTCTAAGAAAGGCAAAGTAAAAAAATAATAATACATTATTTTTAAAAACTATTATCGGTAAAAACATGATACGCATTGGTAATCAATGAACCACCTATGGTGGATAGAATAAAAGCTATGGAATATAATCGTCGATTGAATAAATCGATAAAAAATCATAATTAAATGCCTTTAGTTCCAATGGGCAATGCTTATAAATAATCTTCTATTGTACTTAATCGAGCCGATGAAAAATTGACCGCGATATCGATCAACACAACGCATAGGAACGACGCGAAAACGCTCACTTTGAAAACATCCGCTGAGGTAATTGTCAGGGAAGCTCTTCGGCCGCGCAGGCGAGCGGGCCGCAAAAAGAAAAAACAAATCATAAAACCTGTTGTATTGTTCTTTCGCGAGGGACGACCTCACCTCGCCGACTTGATAAGAGCGAGCGGACTTCCACGGTCCCGACACGTGTTTCCAACAATGAGCCGCATTATGGAACATAGCCGCCGACATTGTTGGGCCGCTATAATGTGGGCATTAGTTAGGCGCCGACGGGAATTAATATGTGGACATAATTCGCTTAGAAAGCGAGTCGAGTGTTGAGACTTAAAAAAAAAACCCAGTTCGAAGTTGAGCTCGGAGACGTCACGACATGGCACCCAGATCGGGCTTAGTGAAAGTGAAGCAAAAGCAATTGATGTTATTAAACAAATCGCGCGATATATTTCAAGTGTCGAGAGGTTTTTTGAAATGTGAATATCATTTACTCCTTGTTCCCGGCCCGGCTCCTTTCGAGTTCAAAGTTGAAATCCGGATTCATGGTTCACACTACACATGAACAGAGAGAGCGTCATGGCACAGACCTTCACTTTAAGTATCATAATTAAATTTATTAATTTCACAATAATAACAATATCACTGAATGAAATACTAGACACGTTGTAACTGGTCGATATACCACATCAACTGCCATGATTATCAAAATAATAACTGTGTACATATTTTATCTTTTTACTTAATCAGTTGCGCCCGATCTATTTAGCTACATATCTATTGACACAGCGCCAGATTTATTATGATAAGTTAATACACACACACGAGATTAATTAATAATGAAAATTTATGTGAATAATGAAAATTTATGTACGAAGCAAGACCCCTATATACGTTGTGATCTATGCAAAAGACCGTACAATAACATTGAGACAAATATAAACAAATTACGACACACAATCAGTTATGTAAGAGGTTGCAGCCATCATCATCAACAATTAGTTCGACATGGGAAGGCCACTTGACACAGACCTTCTTCCAAAGATTATGTTGGTCCTTATTTACAATAACAAAGATAATGAGAAGAAAATCAGTCAGACTTTTTACGGGCGATTATAGGCGAACAAAACCGTAAATATTCAGTTTTCCTTTTAGTGGGAAAATCGTTGGAAAATAAAAAGAAAAGTAAGCAAAATATTTCGATATGGAGAAGTTTGTTTGTTCCATTGGCCGGTTGCATTCGTTAGGCACAATAGCAATGTTGATAATCGCTAATGTGTACAACACTTGTGTTTTCGGAACCCTGGCCTTTCACATAACAAGGGTTCTCGATTTAACAGACGTTTACTTGAAACGAAACTGAATTTGATACATAAAGGGATTGTAATAAACAAAAGGAATAAATTGGCGCCAACAAGCATATATTTCCTTTTGTTAATTGAGTTGTTAATTCATTCAATTAATAATCCATTCCCGATTCGAGTTAAAAACATTGACCTATAACTTAAAAAAACGTTATGATTATCTTCCGTTATTTTATGGAAACATTATCAGGCAATGTTTAAATAAAGTAAGTGTATAGATAACGGGTGCCAAAATGTACCCTTGGAAGATTTGAATATAACACTGACAATAAGGATTTACATTGTGCAACTAGATTGGCCTCAAGGCGATCCGCCCGTAGTGAAACCGACACCGGTATCGTAGTCGACGTTTTTCGCTTAAGTCGGCGATGCTTCCTGCGCTACCAGCAGCCAGTTTTGACATGCATTACCATTTCAATATTTCAAAGTACTGCATGTGCCGTTGTTTAAACATGCACGCAGCACATTAACGCGTCATTGTGAATGGTCAAGTTTGTTTTGCTCATTCACGTGTGGGGAACAAAAATCAACACGTTTAATTAAAGAGCCCGTTTATGTATGCGATGAATTAGAAGGTATTAAAGAAGCGCGTAACGTTAACGCACCCAAACTAAAATACGTGACGCGTTCTAAAGTAAGGGAAAAAGTGGGCCGCATACGCATATCGACGTCAGGTTGCTAAAGAGCAGCGGCGAGCAACTATAATATCATATAGAATTAAAATTCAGTCCGAGTGATCACGCGCGCGTGGCAATCAAAACATAGTACTCGTTATTCCGCGTGTGGAATTATCTGCGTGTGTCCCAATTATTCATGAAGAGGATTGAGGAAGCGTACGAAATCACGAACACTAGACGTCGAAAATTCAAATCACAAACCGCTTCCGATCGGCAGCTACGGTTTTTCGCTGGCGTCACCTTCACGGGTGACTTCCTGAGACGACTTCCAATCGCCCGTACTGTCGAAGTCTTCCTCCCATCAGGCCGCGCCGGTGCAGCGACCGACCGCGCAGACGTAGCCTTGGACGTGAGCTCCCTGAATTCTAATCGGTCGGCCTTGCGGAAGCGCGTGTCTCCGACTCGCTCTCGTAACATGTCAAGACCGGCGCCTTATCAAATGCGCCCTATTCGATCTTTTTTCGTACTTTAACTATCGGCCGTAACGATTATAGCAATGCCTTTTACAAATACCGTACACGATCTTTTTAATAAGGAATCCACTGGTAAAGCTGAGTAGCACAGGAATGTGTATAAAAGGGTTACGAACGGCATTAGTGATTGGAAATGATTAGCACAGAGCTGTGGTTGCCGCGGCCTGAGGTGGTAACGAGTTACACTCGCTGAACGGGTTGTTTCTGGTTTAAGTGTACCGGAGTGGATTCTTGCATGGATGCACAACGGTGCAACTTAATTTTTTCTTATACTGTATGTTTAATTTAACAATAGTTAATAAGAACAGCGTTATAAAATACTTACGGCATAGTGTTGAGTTTAAAGTAAGTGTCATGGGGTAGTGGTTCTAAACTTTTCGCGTTTATGTTTGTGCCGGACAGGCGACGAGCTGTTCTCATCCAACTGCCTCGTTGTCGACGAAATCCTTTGTCGTTTTTAAGTAATTGGAGATGGCGTTTTACAATGTCATGCCATTTCCATTTAACAGTAGCCGGAGAGTCACTTGCCGCGTCTTCCTTACATATCTGTAGTCCATCACTGAACCTCCTCATGTTCTGAAGGTAAATTTCATTTGATTTTGGTGGTAAACTTCTTCTACGCTCGTCGGGCATTATGCCGGGATCTTGCGAATTTTGGTCCGCAATCCATTTTGATATGAAATCATTTTTATCACAGACTTGTGGGCTAACTGGTTCCTCTTTTGGGACTGGTGGTATCCAATCCAGACTCACCCATTGACTAGACTTCGGTTTAGATTTAAAAATTACGTCGATTTCGTCATCGCAGTCCGACGAACCGATTGAGCAAACAGACGTCTTTTTTCTTCGAAACCGGGATCTTACAATAGGCTTACACGAAGACAACGACTCGGGATTGCCAAATTCTGTGCTTTCCTCTTTTCTTACATCCTGTAAACTCTTCATGGTTTCAATATTAACGTAAGAGTTTTCGGAGCATGAAGAGTCAACACTAAACCTAGGCGTACTTCTTTGTGATGGTCTGGACCTAATTATAATTTCATCATTATAATTTTCAGCTATTCCACTACCCATTTCCCGTTCGTTTGTCAAAGAAATTCTTCTTTCGTTGGACTTTTCGTTTTCCATTTCAATTATTTTAGCCATACTTGGAAACGCATTGTCCTTCCCGACTTCAATTATCCTAGGTAATCTTAGGGGTCCCTCCTTTTCAAGATCACCATTATTTGTAATAGTTGAAAACGAACTATCTTCATTTAATTCTATAATCCTAGTAATTCTTTGTGGCATGTCCGAATCACCATCGGTAGAAATTGGTGAAGGCGTATTGTTATTGTCATATTCAATAATCCTCGCTATCCTCTGGAGAGTTTCTTTTTCTGTCTCCGAGGTCTGCGTATTAAAATCATCTAGCTCTATTATTCTAGTAATTCTTTGAGGATAAATCTCACCACTGGATTCCCGAAGTGGACATGGTTTAAATTGTTCTTTTCCTAATCGTTTTTGGCATTCTTCAGATTCTGAGATATTAATAGAACTAGCCAAAGAATTTAATTCTAGGGCGCTTTTTGTTGACGATGATTTATTGCTATTTTCAAAATTTACCTTTTCTTCTAGTGAATTGCTACGGCTCTTTGCCTTTTGCAGTGCACTTTCCGAAAGGAAAACGCAAGGCACTTCAACCTGCATCGACATCTTTCTTCGTCTCGTTGTATTTTCCTTTTCTCTATTGATGTCATTGTCAATGTTCTCAGGGACAGTCGTGTGCGGTAAAATTATAGGAGTCCCGGCCACCATGCGCAAAAAGTCTGTAACGGCGGCAATATGAGCGCCTGTAACGGCCCCCTGTAACTTAACACCGGATACTTGGTGAGGCACTAGCTGGTTGTCGCGCATACACCATACTACGGGCAGGGCCCCTTCCGACACCATGGTCGTGAAGCAAGAGCGTCTTAAAGTTTATCTAGAAGACAATTATTAATAAAAAAAAAATAAAGTTAATCGAAAGCACTGGTTCACTGGCGCATTTCCGGGCTGCGGCCGACACTTTTATTGTGAAAAACGATCGAGTATACGAAACAAGCGAGCCGTCGGTGGGGCGACATAGCGCGGGCGCGGGCGCGTTCGAGACGGAGCGGCGTGCGTGCGCGTCCGGCGGAGGTCGCGAGAGATAAGGCGGTGAGAGCCGCACGCGCACCGCCGCCGCGCCCGCCCCGCCACCGCTGCGCGCCATCTTCCACCGTCGTACATCAGTTTCCATCCGATGCTGTCCATCGCTCCGGCGAATTATGTAACGGTACGAATGACCTATTAAAACCGTTAAGCCCTGCCTCGAAACATTGATTTGATCTTTGGCCAAATAATAAGTATCACAGACGGGAAGAACTGTTTGTTAACTGTCGATGATTTAAAACGATTTATTCCGATTGTTATTATTAAATTGTGGTTGAGGTACTTAGTAAGAATTTACTTTGCTATTTAATACTGCAAGTTTTTGCTACACTGACGTAATGGCTACGAAATAAGATTATGGAAGCATTTGCCTAACTTGTAAGTTATTGTTATAAATTATTTAACATTATTTATAGTGGTGACTCCGTGGCGCAGTCGTCAAGGTCGGCTTCAGGGGTTGTGGGTTCGATTCCCACACGGGACAACTATTTGTGTGACCCACTGATAGTTGTTTCGCATCTGGGTGTTTGTCCACGTGAAATTTATGTATGTAAAACGTCCTTGCAACACAGGATAATGTAATCCTAAAGTGAGGTCAATGTTTTAAAAAAAAATAATAATTTATGAGCTCTAAATATGTATTCTGAGAAAATATCACGAGTAATAACATTCCTAATCAATTTTATTGCTAAGCCTCTTTAAAACTTGTAAAATATTTTATAAACTTACGGGATAAGTTTCCCGAGTCATCCTGCCAAGTACAGTTAGCGTAGGCTTTGTGTTGGCCCTGTTTGTGTCAGGGCGGTCCATCATTCGTCCATCGACGATTAAATACCGCAAGCTTTATGCATTGCTTTGACACTAGTGAGGCTACGCGTAGTCAAAATGTCTTCAGTGTCGATTGAATTCTCCTCGCAAGCAATAGGCCAATTGATTGAGTGTTTTAATGTTTAATAACTCACTACCTCTACTACTTCGTTGTTAATAAACTTATGTTTTGATGTAAAACTAACGGAGCTGCCGATGCGTAATTAAGCGCTGTTTTGTCTATGCAGAGGATGCTAAATTGGAGTGATTGACGTATATAATTATATTGGCATCTGTTTCGATTTGTTATTGTTTAGGAGTAAATCAATTGATTAATAATTTGTGTACAGAATTCAGGCGTGACAAAAAGTTTCAATAAAGTGACTTTAATTTCGTTTTAAATTTGTCTCTTACAATGATTGATGGAGTGGTTTAATGGTGGGGTACAGTCTGGAATCGCGCGTGTGAGTGCATCGTCGTACTTAGCCCAAAGATATGCGCAAATGCCAATCAACAGTTACATGTGGCGCCGGCGCAGATTGTGATGCACAACCCGTAACTGGGACGAACAAATCGGGTATTAATTATCCATACGGGTCTAATCAACGTCTGTGTATAGGTTGAAGGATTCAAAAAGCCGGAGGAAGCACTTTTTAAAGATAAAACGTAAGAGGTATTTGAAAGATGGATTACAGAAATTGCGCTTTTAAATGGTTACAATATCTAAAGATCACCCAATAGACACTGTTTTAGGTTAGCTACGGAAAAGCATTCATAGCAAGCTGATTATTATATTTTTATGTAAAACATTTCAGAATCACAAGACCTCAAAAAATCATAGGAAAATATCGCACGTTATCTATTTGTATTATCAATCAAAACAGACGCCACAAAAATCATCAGTGAAAGTGTCTCGCTGAACCAGACTGTTTCTTTCTTCAAAGCGGAAAATACATAATTGGATTAAACCTCTATCGGCGGGCATTATGAAATCAAATTCGTAAATATAAGCAAATTGAAAAGATTCGGTTAGATAACCGAAGGCTTAGACGACTGATGTAGGTGCGAGTTGTATTAGCGCCGATGACGCGAGACAACGACCTCCGATATCGTAATACATTCTCAGTGCAGCTTCGAGGAACAACTCTCCGTTAAGCGGAATTTTGGAGAAGCCCGCGAGCAGGAAAATTTTCGTTTTCGGCACCGATATCGATAGAACATTAAGATATTTTTTATAAAGAGCCAATAGTGATGGTTGACACGTATGACATTGGCCTACTCCACCAACGGATGATTTGTGGTTCTTTGATCAAGCGAATGAGCAGGCATTTTATCCGCTAAGTTTACTATACAATATATTTGGCCAAAAGGCTTATACAAAGTTAAACAGCAGTTTTAGCGTTCGGTGACTTGAGGGGCACCACGTCTCGCCTTCCGACTAACGTAGATAACGTAGAACGTAACTAAAATGTAGATTAGAAATTTTACTGCATAGCTTGTTAAATCGTAACAGCAATGAAGTAAAGTTTATTCCCACAAGTGGACATGAAACACCTCAAACGCTATGCAGATATAATACCTATATTAATTATTATTCGTTCAAATCTTAGTTGCGCGATTTCTGCACCGTATCTGATGGTAAGTGGTGTTGATGCCGTTGACGTATTAGTAGTTATGGATTCTTCTAGCTGACATTATTCTCAATCAGGGTAACAGAGTTGAGAATATCCAATTATGTAGAATTAACAGTAAGTATTTGTATATTATACTTTTTGCCTTATTTTGTTTTCCGCATCGGCGATCGTTGCCCCCACGCTGAATAAACTTTAGTTTTTACCGCAATGTTCAGGATAACTGTTGGTTCTATTTTTAAAAAGCATAACCGGAAGTACACGACCAGCAGACGACAAAGGACGAATTCGGTGAAATCCGGGTGGATAAATGAACCTTCGTTAATGCGTCGATCGCCCTTATACATTTGAATATTTCGAGCGAGAGAGCAAGTCTCGAACAAGGTCGCGTTAACTTTCAGCAAGGCTTGTCTTTGTGTATCATTCGGTTCGTGACTATTAAATATTTTAAAATATTTGGCGTAGATATTATCGAGTGGGTATAGTGTTCATGGTCCTTAATTTTTTTTTCTTAAAATACATAGGTACTTTATACCGGTTAATATACACACATATGACGCAGTTAATTAATATATTCGCAATAAATAAACGGGTCGGACTCGCGCACAAAGGGTTCAGGGGCAAAAAAAAACAAGTCTGTTGTATGGGAGCCCCACATAAATATTCTTTTAGTATTTGTTGTTATAGCGACAACAAAAATACATCATCTGTGTTTTAACTGTAAAACTCTCACGGTTCTTGAGATACAGCCTAGTGACAGATGAACAGACAGACAGGCAGCAAAATCTTAGTAATAGGGTCCGTTTTATTCTTTGGGTACGAAACCCAAAAAACGGCATCGAAAAATTGCGAATTAAAATGAAAACTTTAAAGTTAAAAGGAGTGATTTAAACTAGATATTATTAATTTAAACTATTTAAGCCTTATAAATTTTAAAGTTTTTTATAGTTTAGCACTCTGCACACGATTGAACATTAAAACATGTAGAAAAAGTACGAAAAGATTGCCGCCGCGCAGAGAGCAAAGAGTGTCAAGCCGCGAATGCCGAAGACGTGGGTTCGATTCCCACAGCGGCGACAATCTTTTCGTACTTTTTCTACATGATTTAATATGAAGCCTTATATAAAATTCATTTACAGGCGTCTCACAACTCACACCTAAAGGGCTGAAAGAAAGCTGTTGACAGTAAAAATTTAACAGACCATATTCACCATTATTTAAAAGAATATGACCCACATGAATTTCATATTAAATCAATTAAATGAGCGCTATATTTAATTTAAAAACTAAAGCACTTGGAAATGTAATACATATATGATTAAATTTTTCTTAATACTATGTTTTTAAATTCTAAATTACATAAAGATAGTAAGAGCTAAGAACGTGACATATTGAGCACGTGCTCGTCCACGTTACAAGTCCGTGTTAAAGGATAAAAACGCTTAACTCCCACAATTATCTTTGTATATGGAGCAACACAACACGTTGCTGCCCATTCGGCTCTGTTTTGTTCTAATGGTGAACACTGCAATTACTTCGGAATAAATGTTTATTATTTATCATTTTAATGAATCGTTCAGCTAAATTGTTTTAACTAAACATACATAATTCGCTGTGAATTAATATTTTCAACGAATGACGCCACATTAAAGGGCATATAGGAATATTAAATTGAGTAATTACCTCATTTCATTAATAGTTCAACGCGGTTGTTTGTATTAGTGATACTAATTTATTCAAAGTATAATACAATATTGTACAGAAATAGCCTTGTTCCTTTTTTTTAAACCAGAGGACAATTACAAGACAAAAGAGGAATTATTTATAACATAATAATACATACATTGAAAACATATCATATAAACACAGTTTTTAATCTACAGTTAGGTACTAAAAACTTATAATTAAAAAGCAATTTAAAATTATATAGTTACTTAGTTAGCAATATGATCACTACGGTTACACGAGCTAAGCTCGGTCCTCCAGGTACTACATTATTATATACATATTTGTTAAATATACATTCATTATGTGATTACCGTAGATATTCAAAAACGTAATTTTTTTTTTTCATTTTACAGAAATTATATTATTTGAAAATATAGATTTGAAAATATGTACAAAATATGTGTTTTTGTATTTATACATTACATGTGTACAGTACATTAATTTAATATTAGAAATTAAACACATTTATATTACTTCTCTTTGTAACCGACGTCGACTTATTTTATTTGTAGAGCTTGATCTTCTTGCCTCGCTCTTAATTCTGATTCTCAAAAGGCATACCTATGCATTTGGAGAATCAGAATTAATTTGGTAATTTAAAACTCACATTGATTTAGGTTAATTTCAAATATATTACAAAAAATCAAGAGAGGATTTGAAATATTTCAAGTCTTGAAATATATTTAGCATAAAAATGAAAAACGAACTCGGGTACATTTATAGAGAGCCACAAATAATCCTTTAAATAGCCGCAGGTTGGCCATTGATAATTTAAAAACAAAACGTTTAATGATTGAAAAAAAAAAAGGAAAATGAATACGATGACAGAGATTAATGAGCCAATTCAGAAGGCATTGGAGTTAATTAGCGGAGTGATTTCATTTTAGGGCGGCTCATATATATATTGATTGAGCAAACCTCCTGAACGATATTTATGAGTGATTTAGCTATATTACATTATCTGAATTACTAAGGCAATATTAACAACAAAAATAAAGAAAACTCAATTACCAATTTTTTAAGTTTCTGAAAAACTATTTGTTAACCTTGACTTCGTGGGAAATTTAGAACATTCGTGTTGCTCAGTTCTCTCAATAGTTTCACTTTACATCATAAATCTTGATGAAATGAAACCTAGGCTAGGCTTTATCAATTTTGTATCAGTACCATTTATTGATACAAAATTGGTAATTCTACTTTACTTCTTGACTAGTTTAAAACATATTTTTTGTCAACTGATCAAACAATAAAATCTAACGCGTGAAGATAAATATTTAATAGCTACAAAGGGCATATTAAAATATAAGAAGCCATACACAAGAGTATCTCATCTCTCATCATACCATATAGTATGCTATAGTTTCACCCAATACACGCAATGCGCTATATACTTAACATTACAAAAGTAAGTTAAACTCTAAACAAAACTAACACAACTGTAAAATGGAACATTATCATCATCCTCCTTATCACAACTAGGTGGGGTCGGTACAACATGTGAATCATGTTGTCAGCGGTTTTGGCTATGTTTTTTACGACCGTTCGCCAGTCTGACGTCAGCACTCATCGGAAAACAAGCACCCCGATCCGGAACAATTATCGTGATCTAACGACTATCTGTGCATCACACAAATACTTGTGCCGTGTGGGACTTCGAACACACGATCCCAGACACCGTTGCTTAGCAACGGCGCCACTGAGTAAAATGGAACATATTAAACAAAAATAGAAACTGCTTTTTAATTTAAAAAAAAATCAACACCTATTTTAACAATTTTAAACACCCTCAAAAATATGGTCAAAACAAAATATTGTCTCATATATATTGTCTCATATATAGCCAATACACCACAAAAATATTTACATATCATAAAATTATTATATTTAATATTTACATTTAAAAACAAGAATGCGGAAGAATTTTTAAATATTTTATTATACGCGAATTCTACTTAAACAATATTTAGGGTTTCGTACCTAAAGAGTAAAACGGGACCCTATTACTAAGATGCCGCGGTTTTTCTGTCCGTCCGTCTGTCTGTATATCTGTCTGTCTGTCTATCGGTCTGTCATCAGCCTGTATCTAATGAACCTTGATAGGTAGACAGTTGAAATTTTCACAGACGTATTTCTGTTGCGTCTAAAACAACTAATATTAAAAAATAGAATAAGAAAATATATAAGTGGGACACTCATAAAAAAGACACGATTTTTTGCCGTTTTTATAATGGTACGGAACCCTTCACCGGGTTTAAGTTTTACCCAGATTTATTTTATATTTGAACTCCCGATGTTCTTTTAATTATGAAATAGTTATGGAATAAGCCACATAGTGTTAATTTTTTTTTTTACTTTGTATTGGAAATTTAAACATCTGTCATATACACTATATACGACAGATGTTTAATATATATACGTCATATTGAACTAAAGCGAATATCAAGAAAAGACACTTACACGTCATATAGAGTAAGTAAATATAAAGAACCTACGCTAGTAAGACTGGTCCACTCCAAAACTAGTGGATTTCAGATTGATTTGATTCTTGCTCCATCGAAAACGAAGGCCTAGTCTTTCCGCGATTTCTAAAAAATCCACATTTTCCGCGAATTAATGGAACGAAGCATTAATAAGCAAATAACGATAGAAAGGATATTAATTTAACATAATTAGCTAAACATGAACAAAATTTAACATATGAAGAATGTGAGGAATGAGGATCAGAAGTGGCTCATATGCAAACCGCCATAGAAATCGAGATTGTAATCTAACCCGAAGCGGATATTATTTAATAAAACATTTCACGTTAAATACGCACCATGGCTATACCTTGGTTGTGAGACAAAGTAAAGGCGCATCACGTATGAAAACAATAAACACGATTAAAGAGACAAAAGAAGAATTTGAAACTACAGAAGCCGAAAGCCAAAGAAATCATTCGGCAACGAGAACAATAAATAGGTTTTCGTAAATCAGCTAATAGAGGGAGGGTCGAGAAACTCTGGTTGGGAGAAGTTGCGGTGTGGCACTGTCACATGTGCTTATATGAGACGTCCCCGTGCAGTGGCTTCGTAGAAGCGGCTGGCTGTGTCTGGCACTGGCGCCAGAAAACGGCGCCTGCTCGCGACCGCTCGATATCGCTTCTTCACACCGAACAGCCGCGTGTCGTAGCAAGGCCCGTGCAACACGCCTCATCATAACACACTTTCAAACGCCCACGAATGTTTATCGAAAACGAAAATTTATCGATAATTCCACGAAATAGGGCGTCGCATTAGCGCCGACTATCGTCGCTAATAATTGGTTACAATTTGCCTCTCGTATCGATACGAATACGATTTTGGTGACGCGTGTGAGCTTGACGAAATTTCGGCTCGGTTTTATTGTTCAAGTCGACAACGTAGTGGTAACAATCAATGAATAATGGCGACGGTTAAAAATTCAAAGCGGAACGAAATACATTAAACAAGGCGTGACCGATTTGAAGGTCTGCCGGCAAGGAACTGAATTAAATAACACTTGGAACAAAGGCTTTAAAGCAAAACCGCGGACCAATACTAAACAAAAGAAACGCGATGATCATAGCGACATTCGACTAAGTAATCTAGTTGCACCTCTATAAATAGAACAATGTTGCCAGTAGCGAATAATTCCATACGGGAGCTGAATTGTTTATGCGATTAGGCTGTTTAGTTCGCATGCATGACAATGTAAGTACGGCAAGTCAGGGCTTCAAAAAGCACTACGACTAATTGGATGTAAAATTGTTGACAGAATGAAAACAAGTCGAGAACATGTTTCATTTTTATTCTTTGTAATTTTCGCAAAGGAAGTCTGACAGATAGAAAGAATTATGACTAATTCAATTTTTCTGATTGTTATGTTTTAATAGTACAACACAAAATTAATGTTCCTCTTTGTATACTTGGCCCTAGTTGCAAAGTGTCAACTAAGGTTTCCTATAGCGGCTTTAGCTATTGGGAACAAAGAAATTTGGACTTCGTGTCAGAAAAACTATTAATTAAAGACTGAGCCACACAAAAAAAATTCTTTGGTAATAAGTAGTAAGCCGTATGTAAATAAAGTTTTTAGACTGGGGATGTCAATAAAATATTACAAGCACATGGCATTATTTTAAAATGAATAGGTACTTGAAATTTCTTTTAAACAATAATGTTAAGAACTCCGATAAGTATCAATATTGAAAAAATATGTAAAAACTTATCAGTTAAAATAATTTAAGTTCGAAGATTGCATTCAATAATAAAGTTTAACAGAAATTAGCTGTTCAATGCAATTGAGGTTAAGGTACTTGTAATAACCCAAAATACAAATTACTATAGCCGTGAATCAGTCGTGGCATACACAGTTTCCGGCCGCTTGATTTTAATTTCTTTTACTTGTATACCCGAGTTCAAACCACTGTGCCCTCATTGCGTTATAATATTAATTTTGACTTGTTCATTTGCTAGGTGCTAAACATAGTGGTAATACCTGTCTGTCAGAAAAAACAAATAGCATTATGAGTACGTGTGTAGCATTTGTATATAAGCATTTTTTTTGAGTAAATTCATAAAACAAACTCGAGAAGTCGTACGAGTCTACGTTGTGTTGGTACACGCTGAATAGAAAGTATTAAAAGTTATCTAATGGGGATACAACATGCTTTTTCAGTTGTCTTATATATTTTTATATTGACATACTCTTTTATTTCATATGCCAATTTGTTATCCTAGCCGTATTAGTGGTTTGTAAAAGCTCGATATGAATGAACCGCGCGGAACATGTTTCCGATTAATAACCAAATTTCGCGTACCGCAAACCAACCCACTCACGGCGACCAGAAAAGCTCGCGCGCCCTTCCGTGCATTCCGAACGCGGCGCGTCCGATACGCGAACGGTGAAATTGTCAGGCACAGCGCGCAACAATGAGATCTGAAAAAATTCTGGCGTTGCCCGTGTGTTGTTCCATTTACGACTTTACGACCCAGTCGTCCGTTAGGCGCGTTCGCGGCGTACGTCAATCTGGCCGATACGAGTAGCGGCGTTAAGAGCGCGGCTCTAGACGCGTAGAAAGTTGCGTCGCGACTCGACGGCGCCCCGAGTCCTGCGATCCGCATTCTCCGGGGGCTTTTTAGCGAGACTATAAGCTTAAAAATTGCGACGGCCGGCGCAAAGCCCCGGGGCGGGTGCATCGGGGCCGCTGGTGCGAGGCGTAAATAGACGATTATCGCACAGTGTGTAATGTACCCGCTATAAATAGAGTGCTAATGAATCGCCCTGCGAAACGGCGTCGGCATTCTCGCGATGGCAACGCGCGGAATGGTCAATAAAATTGCCGATCCGAGTTTCGTCTCTAATACGCTAGGTTGGCATACCTGTTGGTGTTCTTTTGGACCCATTTAGGAATTTGCGTTGGTTTATACTCGTATACAGCACTGATGTGGTTATTTTTATTTCAAATCTGCTGCTTGAATTAGAATTTGAAAAATGTTTGACATTTTAAAAATGCAAATCCATGTATAAATATATAGGTAAATTTTACTTCGATAGCAACTATATGAAGTAAACATGAAAAAAGTTATAAAAAGTGATTGTTTTAATTAAATTGTACTGTTATATTTTATTTTGCCTTCTCGACATAAGTAGGTAACATTCATTTAAAGTTTAGGGTGAATAAAAAAATTGAAAGTCGAAGTTTTGTACGAATGAGCTACAAATAAAATAAAAAGACAAATGGCGACCTGTATGTACTTCAAAAAATCATAATTATCGATCAAATAACAAAACATAAGTTAATACTTCATATTTGTTTTATAAATTAGGTAGGTAGGTAATCTCAGGAAAGTATTGCCTGTTGGGTTACCTTCAATCGCTAATCGTTTAAAAGCCTTTTAAAATCGGACTCAACGGATCGATTTCCTTTACAAATGGTAATAAATATAAAAGACACGGGCTGATCCCGTTCGTCGTATGTCATGCGAAAGTGGGTCAATGAGGTGGCATATCCCGTAAGAGACAAGCCGCGCATTAAAAAAAACACGAAGATTATTTAAACGCGTTCTTGGAACTGAACGGAGAATGAGCAGCGTAGACATAGATTAAGCTCATACGAGCTTTACGTCCGCAATGCGCGAATGTGGATTGTGTATGTGGATTTTTGCAACGTTTGGCCGGAAAACGAAGCAAATGTGAAGATTGAAATCTAAACAGTTTATTTTATGTAAAAAAAAATCTGCAAAACTGACTCCCTGCGCTAGGAAACAGTCCAATTATGCTAAAATCACACCCAGAGTTGGGAGACAACAACTTTTGAGACACTAACATATTTTACCCTAGAGAGTATCGAACCCCCGATACGGCACATAATGGCAGTCGCTAACGTTTCCAAGCTATAAAGTTTCAGAAGAATTTCATCGTACGGTGGCTTTCGAAAAATTGGATTTAAAAAAAAGATATTCGTCCTTACACGACAATCAAAAGTGAAAGGCCACGTCCATTCTTTCAGATGGAAACATGCTTCTGCTGCCACATTGTTATTCATAAAATGCTTAAAATCGAGTCGCGTTGGACGAGCGTCTCGGTCGATCCCATTTAAATCGCGCTGCAGGACGCTTAGACAATTCCAATAAGTAATTGTACACGGCGTTTACTTTTTACATAGACGGACTATTAAGGGATACGTAAGTGCTTCGTGCTCAAACACGGCGTAATTAGCCCCTTGAATTTATAATTCGACGTCGTACAGTGACTCACGCGCTTTATATTTAAATTACTCGCGGTCCGCGACCGTTCTATTTTCGAGCTGGCGGTGTTGCCCGGCCAGCGTTTTCTTTCTTACAGCTACGCTATAAGACCGAGAGGTGTGAGAGACAAAGAGGTATTAGGGAGAGGGAGAACAATGCACATGCGAGGCGATGCAGTGGCGTTGCACGAAAGAGCGGGCCTTAACCCAAATTCCCGTATGATTGCAAAGGAATGTCACGAAGTAACAAAGCGTCGTTCGGATAATGGTTGTGTATAAACATGCGCTACCGGCAGCGATGCGGGTCGATGAACGACCTAGCCTAGCGAGTCGGTTTCCTGCGGAGCGACGACCCGCCCCCGTTCAGTATACATAAGCGAATTAACAAGGTAAATAAAAAGTAACATTCCCACGTACACACTCCGAGAATATATTAGCTAAGACCCGGCTTAAACGGGCGAGCTCAGTGAGCCCATAAGTGAGTTACGCGAATAAAAGTACGACTAATGAGATTGCACTGCGTTATATTTTTAAACGATTAATTGAACAAGACGCGACACGATGTGATCCGTTTCGATGCTTTATTTCACGGCACAAGTATCGGCTACAAATATTCTAGTTTGGTTTTCTTTCTTATATGGCTTGTAATTAAACAGTCTATAAGATGCGTTTCTAATAAGAATAGGAACGACCTCGAATGACAGCGATCTGTCAACTGTCATTTGACAAGTACGCCTCGCAATGAAAAAATAATTATACACTCTTATTTTTTTATAACATATTTACAAATATTATTACCAAATCTATTTAAGTCATAAAATTATCCAAATTGAGTCTAACTCTGGTAAGGAATTTCTTCACCTACTACTGACGATTGGTAGAAAGAAATGAACCATGTCAAACGAATCGAAAATTAATACCGGCAAAAAGAAATATTTCGAGACGTCGATATACTTTAGTTTTATTATAAACAAGGGTAATAAAATGCCTATTTTCTCTTTTAAATAACAGTCGAACGAATATGTTTAATAGTTCTTTTTCCTATTATTTTCAAAAATATTTTATCATATAACGGCCGAGACAAAAATATTAGATTCGATCGGACCTTCTCCAATTGAAACTTTTTCTTTCATAAATATATGTATTTCATAATACAAAATATCTGTTGGTAGGGTACCTAATTGATTTGAATCGACAGCCGTGACATCACAACATGGCGCGAACTCAATCCTTATTCTATTTGATTAATATTGTATCTATATATTATTGTGTGTTATATATTTTATTTTATATTCTCTTAGTTAATTTTATATTTACTTTTAAAATAATAACATTTTTCTGTTCAAATTAGGAACGCATTTAATAAATTAGGTAATCAATTTAATTAACAAACACTACAAATTGAAAATATACAAGTGAAATTAGGCAGACGTTGAATAAATTAACTGCTGTAATATATACTAACTGCTGTAATAACATTTCTGTGTGCAAATTTTCAGGTCAATAGGTCTACCCAGAGGCTTATCGCAAGCGTGTAGAATTACTCATTAAAATAAACATAACAACGCGTTGACCGTGCATCTGTTTGTGCGCGTGTGATCACACAAAGAGTAACATTAATCGCTAAAAAAATACACCAGATGAAAGTAAACGCTCTCAACGCAGACAACTTATATCGTGCAAGAGAAATTCTTTTTAGGAAGTGATGACATAAATTCGCCAATTGGTTCCGGTACGAAGAGACACTTGGTTGTTTACCGCGTAGGGTTTAACGAACGACCTCACTTGCACTTTTTTTCTCCTTAGACAACCCGTACCGGACGTATCAATATCTAAGAAATCAATTACGCCGCCAACCACTGATACGCATACCAGTGTTCGGTGTTGCAAAACTCTCACTTGCGGACGTCGCATCTCGTGCATGCGACGCCTTCATTGCCAATAAATTGGAGGTCGACAAAAAATATCATATTCTCCATGCGTCGACGTTTCTAATGATCATATCTCGGTCAGCGGAAACTTACGGCGCGGTCGACACGCTGAAAGCCTTTTACATCACTACTAGTCCAGTACACCCGGCGGTACCAGGATCCGATCAGCGCGAGCGACACTAATTGGCGGGATTTTTTTCTCTCCACCTCTCGCCGCCAGTTGCGATTAACATTTATTTAGCGATCGCTTTATCATTAATTTGCAATGCAACGTCGCATTGAATACGGCTCGGGGCCGTAATTGAGATTAGCGAATGACACATTCGAAGACAGCGAAAACCGTATTGAATGACAGGCGCATTGGAGATTGTTAGATTATGTTAAGAGCGAAACAAAAAGGGGAGGAGAGAAAGTGCTGGTAAAAACGTCGCGGTGAAAATGTTGCAGTTAATGGCGATCAATATACGTGGCGTGGGCGGGCACGGACGGTGCCGTGATAATTGAAAGTGCCATCACTTGCAGCCACTCCGACGTCCGTACCGGATGGAAACTGTGTCAAGATGTCTTCGTGGTCTTAGCGATGATCTGCGCGAAATCGGCCGTGACTCACTGTGGTAGGGCCCACGCATCTTCTGATGGACGAATCGCACTTTTGTCCGGGGAAGTACCACTGCTACCCAAGTTACCAGCGTTAAGTGTGTATTATATTTTCACGTTTCGTCTGGTCAGCGAGATAACCGGAGCCTTATTTTTTAAACATTGTATACGCATCTGCAACATCCGTCAGGTGTTGTAGATGTCCATGGCAGCGGTAATCACTTAATATCAGCCTGCTCGCTTGACAAACTTTCATAAACGGCCCCGTGGGAGTCTGCTACCAACATTTGTTGCGTACCACAATCTGTTAGCTGTACTTTGTTTTATCGAGCTAAGAAGGTAGAAATGTAAATACTTTTACCAAATCACCGTAGTTTACTTTGCACAACAATAATACTGGTATAATTACTTATCTTCACTTTTAGATCACTAAAGAAACATAACTCTGACGATTTAATCTGTGATACTGATTGGGCAGCACTATCGCGTATACTTCTTGTTGACAGCCAAAGAAAGACGAAGTTCCATGAAATGCTTCGTGTAGCTCCATTTATACCCCATAGAATGACACTTCTTTTAGTTTTGCCAACAAATCTACATGAAACTGGTGGCGCTACGCTGAATACGCAATTTTCGCTGGAGGTATTCGAGCGCGGCTCATTTTCAAGGTGCAATTGCAAACAAAAAAGCGTGCGGGTGATAGAAGGTCATTCATTTGGAGATGCAACTGAACTGGAATTATGAAAAAAAAAGTTATTTTATTGCCAAGTATTAGGTAGCGAAGATACCGAAGAAAACAGAAATAGGTAATTTTCAGCAGTTTCATAAATATTCTTGGGGAATAAAA